AGGCTATGAGCTGCAGTGTGGACCATTTTTGTCCAGCATGCAATCTCAGCTTTTATTGGATGTGCCTGTTTCTGTCTACAAGTATTGAGGTACTATCCATTAAAAACTGAGACAATCTTAAAAGTGCACAATGTAACTTGTCAATCACCTCCTTGTCTCCAAGGAGATGTGCCTAGAATGTTCCACAGTATGACCACAAACTTAAGAATCTCCATTTCCAAGCCAAATTACAGGATAGATCTGTGGAGAGATGACCCCACTCACAGCAAGAAATTACGTTGTGTTGTTTTTTTTTCAAAGATTTTTTGAGCAATAAGTAACGCCTGTAGTCAAATAAATGCAAGACAGAGCATTGACATCTCCATGGAGACATATAGGTTGCAGATCCTCTTCAGCAAAATTACACAGTGCACCTTTAATATGGTAACGCACAGTTTTGGTGTGAAGTAATCGAGCCTATAACTGAATATGATGAAGACTTGAATAAAGCCCGACTAAACTTTTAGATTTAGAATGTTTAGGTCCAAGCATTATAAATAAAATTATACAATGCAAACTGCAAAAAGTATATTATTTAAACTGCAAAACCATCTGCAAACACATGTGAATGTTGGCAGAGGCCTGCACATCTGTGCCTCTCAGTTACACCCACTTTCAATCTTCGCCTCTGGGTACTTTAAACGATATTTGTCATTGCAACGTTTATCCTTTCCCAAAGTGCTGCATGATTGCTGAATAAAACCATGTAGAAATATAATATAGCCTAATGTAACATAACATAGTGCAAAAAGGTCGATCCACTTTGACTTTTCAAATACATCTCATGGGTTAAAGTCACACTGAAAGAATAATGCAATGTATTAAGTGGTCCTGGAGTGGTCCATATACAAGAGGAAGTCTAAAATGTATCTTTTAAGGACTGAACGTGGATGTTATGATGGGAAGCACTAAGGCGCCCTCTTGTGTTGTCTAATGTTCAAAACAAGCAAATACAATTGCAATGGAGTAACCATACAGTTTATGGGAATACTGTAACAGAATTCACACATGAGTGACATATACCAGTATACATAATAAGTGATGGGAAGAATACTTAAAATGTATTTAGTTACAGAGTACCTGCATTAAAATATAATAGAAAAGTATTTTGCAACATATTCCTTTACATGGTGAAATCAGAGTACTATATTCTGATTACTTGGAATACTTTTACATTGATTGAATACATTGAATCACCCACTGCAAGAGCCGTGTTTTGTTTTTTTCTTAATAATACTGTGCTGTTCAAACCAGAATACCATGATGAAGTACAGTTATTTATTCATATTATACAAAATCAGCTGTATTCTGAATGCCACCAAATGAAAGTAATTGCACTGGTACAGGTGTTTTCGGCACATGTATTCAGTAACTTCCCAACACTGTACACAACCAAAAGTCAAAATTTGAACACACCTTTTCATTTAATTATTTAATTTTTATTTTTATTTTCCATGATTAGTTACCCTCCATGTCAATTTTCACTGAAAGCATCCAAACTATGAATGAATAGGCTACATATGGATTGTAAGTAAACAAAAAAAAAACATCTTTTATATTTTGGATACTTAAAAATAGTGCATAGTGTATAGTAACTGTTTACTTCGATCACTACTTTGCACACTCCATGAATGAACCGTGAAAAAAGCACAGCTGTGAAGTGAAAACCAATTCAGGAAACTTCAATATGAAGCTTTTAGTTTGGGAGAAGGACCAAAGGTTTGCAGTGCTGTCAGCAAAACAATGGCTGGGTATAGTTTGAGCTATTTGAATCTAAAAGATAAAACATGTTTAGAGTTATTATAACAATTTTCTTTTGCTGCAGAAACTATATATATGTCTTTTACACCAGCATTGGCAAAAAGCATCTTAAAATGAAACCAAAGTTGTGATGATGCAAAATTCTCAGACTCAGCCATCAGTCAGATGGCATTTTGAAAGAGTTGGTAGAGTTGGTTTATGCTGAGGCAGAGACAAACACAGTAAAGAAGAAGAAGTTACATATTTAAACCTCAGAATTCTTTGATTCAGGAGGATTATGCCACACTGAGCATGGTAAGAGATTATAAAGAGCACTCAAATATGTTAAACACGCAGCAAATCATTTCTGTTTTGGTCTTGTTGTTCACTAGAATGTGTTTCAAACTGTTGTTAGTGCATTGGTTCTTTCTGTTAACTAGAAACTAGACTAAGGTATATGGGTATTTATTTTCACAACAGTATGAAAACATAACTGAAGTCTAATAATAATTAGCTACATTAAATAATAAAAAATATATATCTTTAGGCAATTGATCCATTGGGAAGTGTGAATGCAGTTTATAAACTCACTGTTTGTTGTTTATGTGCTTGTCAAGAGCTCTCTGCAGAAAAATCAAGAGGAGGTGGAGGAGGTCACAACCATCATAGAGGAAAACTACAAAAAGATCCAAGAAATAGCTGGACAATTAGAAACCTTGGACAAAAAAGCAGAGAAACTGAAAGAAAGTGTGAGTGACTGTTTTTATTTTGTGTCCAGTGGAATCTCTTTTTAAAGAAACAGTAACATTTTATTCCAAAACATAGATACTTCCATGGAGTAGTTGATCCTTTGGCTATAATTTTCCACAGTATTGAATTAAACTTGTCGATCTCCATGAAAAATATTCCAAAGTGATGAGCCTCCTCCCAGACTCTGGCAATCCGTACTATCGGGTAAATGCCCTGTGGGCCAGTGTTCTGTCGAAATGGGCTGCCCCGTCAAAATGAGTTCCCAGCAGCCTAAATCGACAGTGACGTCTATCTATTCATGCCCGGTCAAAATAACCTACCTTACGTTTTTCCATTTACAGTTGTATAGATCCAATAAAGCCTCACCTTCATCTCCCCAGTTTGACAACATTTCTTTGAATTAGCAACAGCAGGTTTTATGTGTTGGCACATGGTGATGACATTTTATATCTTAGTTATGCCAAATTTCATCTCATTTATATTAATCTGCATAGTTAATTTCCACAGTCGTTTTCTGCTCAAATACGGCTCCGATTAAAGGCAGCAGATATTGACAGACCGATTTAGCCATCAAATCATGCTCCCTCTGTAGACTCACCATTATTCACTCATTTAAATGAATTTGAGTAGAAGCAGCTCATTTCGACAGGCCCATATCTTCTTTCAAATAATGCATCCACTGGAGAGCGCACACTTCACCTTTGTGATACTGGGGACATTGAAGATGGGACAATTCGTGCAATTACATTTTTATTTATACAGCGCCAATAACAATGGACCTGTCTCTCAGTCATGATGGATGAGGACAGAAAAAGGGACAACAGAAGAAACATTATAACAAAGATTTATTTAAAAAATATATACACATGATCCAGGGAGGGAAATTTATGACATTTGTGCATCGGGAGCTCAAATCGACGGGCGCATGCGCAGTAGCGTTAGGTAGCTTAACTCGAAAAATGCCACGGAATTTAGTTCCCAGTTCGAACCTGTTACCTCCACAAGGTGGCATACTGTATCTTTAAGTTACATCCTAAAGTGATTAAAGGTCCTACTACATAAAGGAATTTTTGTGTTTTAGTGCTTTTATCACTTACTTTTTTTTTTTTTTTTTCAATACAGAGTAAACTGTTTGAAAGGACAAGCAGAGAGCTGATCCCACGGAAAAAATGCACTCTGAATTGTTGTCGGCCTTGTAATAGCTCTGTTTGTAGTCTTTTTTAGGCAATAAATCAAGTGACGTGCTATCAACATTATACTACTCTGGGATTCTCAAATGTGCAAACTGTCTATTCTGGTCAGTCACATAACACTTTGTATTAGGTTAAGAAAAGTTATCTTATCAAAATGAAGAGCCCTGCTCCGCAATTTGCCATTGATATAAAGTGCTGATACGAGAAAACAAAAGTGAAACTTGAGAGCGTGTGGCGAACCGTGCCAGTGGAAATACAGCCTCATCACCGAGGACCTCGAGAGGGAGTAGACTTTGAAGAATGCCCTTATTATGTTTTATTCCCAGCAGTGTCCTATGTAAGTAGTAACCACATCCGGCCCTGCTTTGCTTCTGAGATCTGACGAGATCAGACACTGACAAGCCAGTATGTCTACTCCAAAATTCTGGAGATGAAGTCAGATCTCCAAAACAATCATTTATAAATGACAGTAAATAAATAAACAAATGAATAAACACAAGAAAATTATCACCATTTACTGTTATTTTGAATCATTTAAATTTCTTATATTGTGGCTGATCTTCGTGTTTGTTGCTTTGACGACAAAAGTTCAGTGAGGCTTGTTTTGCTCAATAATGTGTTTATGTTGTTTCAAAAAATGTGTTTTAGCGATTGTAATAGGTCCTAATTCAAAATGTACAATGTAAGAACTTAATTTGGTTACTATAACAAAAAAAAACGTATTATTATTACATTAAAAGAGTTTCACATTTAACCACTGGTCTGCTGTATCGTGTTGTGTCATACAAACTTTAGATGGAAGCTAATGAAATATTAACATCTGTTTATACTGAACTAATTATTTTTAACATCAGATTTCCTTGGAAACAAGATTTGTGAACAAGCAGTCAAAGTTATTATTATTATTATTATTATTATTATTATTATTATTATTGTATATAATTCATCATTGTGCCACTCAAAAGTGTAACTTCGCAAAATGCAAATCCTATTTTGTTCTAGGACTCAAAAAACTCTGTATTAAGCTTTCAAACTTCAAATAAAAATAATTCAAAACTAATATTAGTAATGAAAATCGGCCCTTTTTACGTTTTAGATATTAATATTACTGCTTTCACTTTCCTTATATTGTCCAACCAGTCTGAATAAAGGTGTTTTTACGCTAGAGTTAGTGGCTGTCCAAACCATTGAGAACTTGCTAGGTGGCCTGAAGAGGGCAGGTCCTATTGATTTCTAAAAACTGCAATTGGATTTGTAAATGGGAGAAGCGGTCAGTGGAATTCCCCAAAGCACGTCAATGCAAAAGTGAAAGGACATGGTACTTTATCTTACCTCACACACTGAGAACAGTTATATCTTTTTGAAACTTTGCATCTGAAGAGAGCATCTCTGTGTGGGACAGTCAAAGCCACAATATGGTAAGTCAGGACATCTGCAAGAGTACCAGTAGGATAAGTAACCTCAGCAGGCTGATATTATTATTATTATTATTTTAGATTTATTTTTACTCTTCTTGAACAATAAAAAATATCACAAAACTACTGCATTCTGAAACTTAGGTATATCTAAGAACATATATTTCATATGGATGCTAAAATGCAAGTCTCGGGTTACTGCATTCATTTGTCTGTGATTGTGAATATGAAAATGTCTCACAACAGAAGAGAACAATAGCTATGTTATGTACTTTTAAATCAGCTTATTTTTTAAGATTTTTATGGTTCACATCTGATTGATATGATTGATAGTTTTATTTATTTATTTTTTATCCAGACAAATAAGAGTCGTCTACAGAAAACACAGGAGGAGGTGCAGGAAGTCACAGTGATTATGTTGGATAATTACAAGAAGGCAGAGGAGAGACGAGAAAACCTGTCTGATCTGGACCAGAAGGCTGAGGAATTACGAGAGCATGTAAGATGCACAACTATTTTTACTGAAACTACTATTGCTGAGAATACTACTACTACTGCAACTACTATTGATTGAAATTATTAAAGGTCTACAACATTAAAGGTTGTATAGAGGATTTTCCAAGGAACGAGAAATCCAGCGACTGTTTGTCCTTTTTCAAATGTTGCGCATGCGTGAAACCACCCCCCCTCCCCTACAGCTCCCTACGTAGAAACGCCTCCTCCTGCCTCCTCGTTACGCCAGAAACAGGTTTGTTTACAGCCGGTGCGCTGCACATGACTTGTAAACAACTAACTACAGTGTTGGTTAGGCAAGGCGGAGAAGTGAGGAGCGGGGGGAGCGGGTGCGCGGACATTTCGTGCGCGGACGAGAAGTAAGGAGCAGGGAGAAGAGCGGAGCAGGGAGAGAGGAGAGGAGAGAGGAGAGGGGAGCGGTGCACGGAGATTCCGTGCCCGGAGAAGTGAGGAGCAGGGGGGAAGAGCAGATCGGCAGCGGGGAGAGGAGCAGGAAAGGGGTGCAGAGAAGAAGTTGCGCGGAGATTCAGTGCGAATGAACTAGCTACAACACGCAGCAGCAAGCGGACTCTTTCTTTGCCTTGAAAATTACGTTTTCAGACATAGGATATCGCTTTCATGTCCTGAAAAACGTTTGACTAGCTCTTGGAAATAAAGTACGTTTTCATAATAAGCAGAAGTTTGACCTGTCCAGGAGTAAATTTGGCGACCAATGCGTCAGTCTTTAGACCCTTGCGTCTGCTTCAGTTCGCGCCATCGCTGGAATGAATCTTCAAGAATCACCTTAGTTTGGCTTCGCTGCTTTTCCCCTTGTCTTCTTCTTTCAAGCAATCTCAAAAACGGACTTTCTTTTGCGGCTAACTGCTCCTGGATTCTTGTCGCCATTGCAACAAACTTTGTGCTAACTGCGAGGAAGATATAGGTCAAAAAAGCCGCTAAGAACTGTTGCGTTGGTGGAGTAAACAGCGTCTGTGCGTCTTGCGTCTGTGGACTGCGTGACAGGCGTACGTAAACCACGTACCGGCGGCGCGCAGGCAAGTCAGTTATGCTAGAAACGTAGGGAGATTGATTGACAGCCTGTCAGCTAACAGATAACGAGGCAGTGTCGTTATCTATTGGCAAATGTTTAGCTGGCCCCACCACGTCCAGAGTTGATCAATTTTTATTCTCTTTTTTTTGGTCATCATAATTACAAGGCTACTGCATCTCTATAATGCTATCATTGACAATTTGAAACAAAAAAAAAAATCCTCCATACAACCTTTAAGGAATTTTCAAATTTTATTACCTGACTTATTGTTTTACCACTTACTATTTCCCTACAGAGCAAAATGTTTGAAAAGACAACCAGAGGGCTGGTCCCAGAGAAAAAATGCACTTGGAAAATCATCCTGCTTGTGATTGGGGCTATCGCACTCATTGCTGTTGGCGTTCTATTAGGTGTGTTTTTGGGGTAAATATTGGCATATGTTTTCTTTTTTATGCAATAAATATGCAAATTAAGTGATGTGCTGTCAACATTGTACGACTCTGGGATTCTCAAATGTCTAAAGTGTCTATTCTGGTCAGTCAAACAGCACTTTGTATTAGGCTTTGGCAAACAATATGTTTTTTTTTTTTATTTATAAATTTTTTTATAAATTATGCAAATGTGACTTTTTGTGGCTTTTATAATAGCATGTTATAATAGCTCACTCAGAGTTATATTTGGATTAAGTGTACAGTATGTTTACTGGAGTCTTGAGTGATCCAAAAATGTATGTCTTCTCCTATCACCTGTTCCGCCTAAGTGGAATAATAATTTCAAGCTGGTTCTGTTTGAGTTGAGCAGTTTTGTCATTTGCCTCAAGTGGGAAGATAATCCAGTGTGGCTTCTCCAAAATTCTGGAGATCTGTAAGTCAGATCTCCTACGGGAACAATGCAATATAAGCGATCACCATTCACTGTTATTTTGGATCATTTACATTACTTATATTGTGGCTGATTTTCATGTTTGTTGCTTTGACAACAGCAGTTCAGTGAGGCTTGTTTTGCTCAATGGTCTGTTGTATAAAGTTGTGTTTATGCTGTTTCAAAAAATGTGTTTTAGCAATTGTAATATGTACAGTGTAAGAACTTAATTTGGTTACTATAATAAAAAAATATATGATTATATTAAATAAAAATGTGTTTGTTTACACTTAACTAAGTCAAGACAAGGCATTAAAAATCATCAGTGAATTAGCTTTGAAAGAGCTGTTTCTTTCTCTTTTTTCATTTTTGTATCTAATTCATAATTTCACTCAAAAATGTAACTCCACAAAATCCAACTACCATTGTGTTTTATAACCCCCGAAAGTCTGTATAACACATACATGCAGCTGTATTGTGTAAACATTGTTAAAACTTCTAAAAAATAATTCAAAATGAACATTCGTAATGAAAATTGGCCCTTTTTACATTATCAATATTCCTGTTACTGCTTTCACTTTCCTTATATTGTCCAACCAGTTTCAATAAAGCTTTTTTATTTATACTAGGGTTGGGAGTTCACACCATTGAGAAATTAGGTGACTTTGCTATCAAGAAGAAGACAGAAGAGGGCAGGTCGGGTTTGTAAATGAGTGAGGGTGTCAGTGTAATTCCCCAGGGCAGGTGAATACATTATAAATAACCGCATGTAAAAGTGAAAGTAACACTGTGTTTTATCTTACCTCACACACTGACGACAGAACGGAAAAAAACATATAGATATTTAGCTCTTTTGAATCTTTGCAACTGAAGAGAGCATCACATCGTGAGACCATCAAAGCCTTAATATGGTAGGACGTTTCAGATCAGATATCTTACAAACTATGAAAAATGAAAACTTTGGAAAATGATAAATCAATTAGAGCCTCAAAAAGCTAAGAAAATTTTTGATAACGGTTATGTGGAGCTAAGCAAAGAGAAAGTGATTAAAAAACAGAAGCATGATTTCTCTGATTATTCATCCTCTTTTTTGATTCTACCTTTGAGAGATTTCAGTTAAAGTAAAAGAGGAACTAGAGTCAATTATAAGACAAGAGAGAGCCAAATATGGAGGAAGTGAGCAATGTTTTAAATAAGGAAAATTAACGGAAGTCCAAATTAAGTGTTTAAGTGTCCACATCTTTTGAATGTTCTTTTCTGGTTATTCAGTCTTATAGGGCACTGTTTACTCAACAAGTCAGGAAAAGAAGACCCCAGAGTGCCACTTATTTATAGAGGAATCTACTCTAGTGTCCTAAATGCAGGATTGATGCAGTTTCTTCAAAAATACGGAATTGGTGGATGAACAAATGGCTTTAGAAAACATGGAGCCTGTATTGGTCATATTTATATTGTTTCAACTATAGAGAGAAGTGAACTGGCTGAAAACAAGTCCACATTTGTTTGTTTTCTTGACTTTAAGATTTGTTGTGTTTGAAACTTCTTTATGGCTTTTTTTTATCCAGACAAATAAGAGTCGTCTAGAGAAAGCACAGGAGGAGGTGCAGGAAGTCACAGTGATTATGTTGGATAATTACAAGAAGGCAGAGGAGAGACGAGAAAAACTGTCTGATCTGGACCTGAGGGCTGAGGAACTACTAGAGAGTGTAAGATGCACTACTACTGTTACTGAAACTACTATTGCTAAGAATACTGCTACTGCAACTATTACTGCTTCTGTTATTACTACTATTGCAAAAGCTGCTTCTACTGCTATCAGAGGTGGAACCAAGTCTTTGTTTTGCAAGTCTCAAGTAAGTCTCAAGTCTTTGACCTGAAGTCCGAGTTAAGTTCCAAGTCAAATGCAGGCAAGTCTCGAGTCACTGGCCCATAAGTCAAGTCCAAGTCGTCTGCTTTGAGCTTTTCATGTCATTTCAAGTCTTTAGAATTTTTGCTATTTATTTGACTTTTAAGATAAATTGTACTTAAAAAAATCATAGTATATTTATATATGAGTATTTATATAAGAGTTGTAGAAATTTATGTAGTTAATTTTTCATTTTTTAAATGTCTTGACAAGATCTTAGTGTGAATCATTACGGTCAGAATAGAAATAATTCAAATTTAAAAGTGCTTCTCAAGTCTTCTCAAGTCACAGGCCTCAAGTCTGAGTCAAGTCCCAAGTCTTAGTCCATTTTATCAAATCAAGTGTCAAGTCCTAAAAATAGTGACTCAGATCTGACTTGAGTCCAAGTCACGACTTGCAAGTCCCACCTCTGACTGTTACTATTAATAAAATAGGGTGGCTGAGACCAGATGCCATCAGAATATATTTATTATACTACTACTACTACTACTACTACTACTACTACTACTACTACTACTACTTCTACTACTACTTCTACTACTACTACTTCTACTACTACTACTACTACTACTACTACTACTACTACTACTACTACTACTACTACTACTACTACTACTACTACTACTACTACTACTACTACTACTACTACTACTACTACTACTACTACTACTACTACTACTACTACTTAATAATTATTATGAATTATTTTTATGAAAGAGTTGATGTACCACCTCCAGAGAGTGAAATACTAAAATGATTAAAAGTCTACTACATAAAGAAATTTTCAAATTTTATTACCTGACTTACTATTTTACAATTTACTTTTTTTTCTCCGTACAGAGTAAAAGATTTGAAAAGACAACCAGAGAGCTGGTCCCAAAGAAAAAATGCACTTGGAAAATCATCCTGCTTGTGATTGTGGTTATCACACTCATTGTTGTTGGCATTCTATTAGGTGTATTTTTGAGGTAAATATCAGCTTATGTTTTTTCTTTTTTGTAATATGTAATAATTGTGCAAATTAAGCGATGTGCTGTCAACATTATACAACTTTTGAGATTCTCAAATGTCCTCTCTAATATTCTGTTCAGTTACGCGGCTTTGGCAAACTATATATATATATATATATATATATATATATATATATATATATATATATATATATATATATATATATATATATATATGTTTTCCTTAATCATAAATTATGCAAATGTGACTTTTTGTGGCTTTTATAATAGCATGTTATAATAGCTCACTCAGAGTTATATTTGGATTAAGTGTACAGTATGTTTACTGGAGTCTTGAGTGATCCAAAAATGTATGTCTGCTCCTATCACCTGTTCCTGTCTAAGTGGAATAATAATTTCGAGCTGGTTCTGTTTGAGTTGAGCAGTTTTGTCATTTGCCTTAAATGGGAAGATAATCCAGTGTGGCTTCTCCAATCTCCAATTCTGGAGATGAAGTCAGATCTCCTACAGGAACAATGTAATATGAGAAATCACCATTCACTGTTATTTTGGATCATTTACATTTCTTATATTGTGGCTGATTTTCATGTTTGTTGCTTTGACGACAAAAGTTCAGTGAGGCTTGTTGTGCTCAATTGTCTGTTCTATAAAGTTGTGTTTATGTTGTTTCAAAAATGTGTTTTAACAGTTGTAATATGTACAGAGTAAGAACTTCATTTGGTTACTATAATAATAATAATAATAATAATAAAAACATTATTTTTATATTAAATAAACATTTTTTGGTCTGCTGTATCGTGCTCTGTCATACAAACTGCAGACAGAAACTAATGAAATATTAACATTTGCTTATACTGAACTAAGTCAAGACAAGGTATATTATTAAAAATCATTAGTGAATTAGCTTTGAAAGAGTTTCTTTCTGTTTTTTCATTTTGTATCTAATTTATAATTTCACTCAAAAATGTAACTTCACAAAATCCAAATGCCATTGTGTTATAAAAAGTCTGTATAACGTATACATAGAGCTATATTGTGTAAACATTATTCAAAATTCACTGTGAATATTAATAAAATTGTCCCTTTTTACATTTTTGACATTACTGTTACTGCTTTCACTTTCCTTATTGTCCAACCAGTTTCAATACAGTTTTTTTATTTATTTATTTTTTTACACTAGGGTTAATGGGAGTTAAAACCATTGAGAAATTGCTAGGTGACTTTACTTTCAAAGACAGAAGAGGGCGGGTCGGGTTTGTAAATAGGAGAGGCTAGAAGTGGAATTCCCCAGGGCAGGAGAATGCATTATAACTAAACGCACTTGGACAGAAGTGAAAGTAACAAGGTGTTTCATCTTACCTCACAGACCGATGACAAAACATAAAATAACATAAAGATATTTTGCTTTTTTGAAACTTTGCAACTGAAGAGAGCATCGCGGGACAGTCCAAGCTACAATATGGTAATTCAGGACATCTCAGATAAGGTATCTTACAAACTATTTTGGAAAATGATAAATCAATTATGGTCTCAAAGTTTAGAAAATTCCATTGGAAGTTATAAATAATAGTGATGTGAAGCTAAGCAAAGAAATGGGAACATGATTTCTCAGATTCTTCTACCTCTGAGTTTGATTCTACTTTTAAGAGATCTCAGTTAAAGTGAAAGAAGAACTAGAGTCAATTATGAGGCAAGAGCATTGTGAGCAATGTTTTGAATAAGAGAGGGAGGGAGGGAGTAGGAGAAGTTCAAATGAAGTGTTAATAAGTGAATAGTGTTAATAATAGAGGCAATAGGGATCTGTTGTGCTTGAAACTTCTTCAGGCTGGGGCTGATGGGAGATTTGGGAATTAACATCCCTGTAATATGGGATTTGTTCAAGTGAATGATCTACAGACTGAGTGGTTTCCTATACCTACTGGTGTAAAACAAGGGCATGTTTTGTCCCCAAGGCTGTTCACACTCTTTTTGAAATCAAAGAACTGAACATTGGTACACACTTGGACAGAGTTGCTGTGGGCTCTATACTGATGATGTTGTACTCCTGGCTGAAACAGAAGAGCATCTACAGTCAATGTTAAATGTCATATAACAGAGGTGCTGTAGGTGAAGGCTGGCTGTAAGAAAATTTAAGTAATTTATCTTCCACATACATCTCAGTTTAACATTGACTCACAAAAGCTATATTTACACCATGATCTTCCCCATGGCATGACCTTTGGCATACCATTATCTAAATTGTGGCATATTGCTGTCTAACCGGTACCTACTGGCCTTCATACAGTAGTCTCACCACTCGCTTTATAAACCTCCTCCTTTGAACACTCAAAGATGACACTATGTTCACTTTTGAACTCGTACTATGTTGACTTTTCAAGTCCCCCCAGGCCTGTATTATTGATGGTAAATAAATTTCTCCTGCTTAAGAAGTCCAATTGGACAAGCTGAAAACT